CTGATTTTTCTGAGTGCCTTTATCCAGACATTTTAGTGTTATGCCTCTGCATTGATCCTGGGAAATTTCTGACTGCTCAAGGTCTATAATTTCCTTCTTACTTCCCCATCAGTGAAGGCCAGGCTGCCTGATCCAGAGAAGAATTTTGCTCTATCAAAGTGAAATTAAGCACACAAAGAGTTATTATATATAAGCTGCATGCAGAGATTAAACTCAGACTCAATCACACAACTAAATCCCCATTCATTGCTTTGAAAATTTACAACTAAGTGTGAAGCTAAAAATATTAGCTAAAAACACTGAGCTATCTTCCAACCACATCCTCTTGCAGAATAACATCAATAAGAGACAAGTCTGAAAATGTGCCTTAGAGGAATTAAAGAGCATTTGTTTGAAATGTGGCCATTTCACTTTGGGATAGGTATTTTTTTAGTTCTTTTATTTTTTTTCCCCCTCCCCCTCATCTAATGAACATATCCTGCACTTCAGGGTATGGAAACCTGCCAAAGTCACACCCATAGTCAAATCAAATTTAACATATCTTTACAAGATATTTATAACATGCAAATAGCTAGAGGCCTTGTTTCTCGTTCACATGAAGATCCATTCTGCCAAAAAAGGAGGGCTCTTTCATGTTAGTGAGAATGAGTGCATGGTAAAATAGAAGCTGATTTCACATATTATATTTAACATGTGAAGATTCAGCAACTCGCATCTCCATTCCATGTGCAACAAGCAAGCAAACCACACTGCCACATTTTAAGAAAGATGTTTGGTGAGCCCTTATGACTCCACTCTTAGAATCGGCCACTTGTGTCTCAGCAGGATTCTGCTTCAAGAATCCAAGAAAAAATAATTTTACTTCACCCCTCATTAAAAAAAAATAGGAAACTCTTGCTTCATTCACTCCACTTTTTCTTAAGTCTCTTTAGCAGGTCAAGGAGCCTAACAAAACATTTTCTCAAGATAAAACAGATTAGCAGTAAAAATTCCACCTTCAGATTCTTAGGCATCTGATTCTCTTATGAATTTTGTCTCTTGGCACACATCTAATTCAGAAATAAATTATTCCACTGTGTTTCTTTGACAAACCGCTCACTTAAGAGTAATCAGAGACAGGAATTTTCAAATTAGAAAGCTTAGACCAGAATCATCAAGCACAAGCTATTTGTTGGGACGCTTTCTGAACAACATCGGAAAAACACATGCTGAGCGCCCACGCCTGCTGCACCCACTGCAGCCACCCAAACCTGTGGGGCTCTGTGTGCTAGGGCTGAGCAACCAGTCTGCAGTGCTGAGGAGGGTCATGTCACCTGAGGGAAAATGGCAAACAAAAGAAAACCATTTGGCTTCATCTCAGGAGGCAAACACGTATTGCAAGTTAGAGCTTTCTGGGTAGAATTCACCCCAAATTCTTTTAAACTTTAAAAGTATAGTGACAGATAAACAAGTTACCTTGGCAGGTTAGCTGAATTTCTTGAAATAAAGTCTGATACCTACCTATAAGTTGGGATAGTATTTCTCAAATTATTTGCTACCTTAGGAGAGTGCATTAATAGATAGATACAATATATAGCTCATTTCCTGACATAGTAATATTAAGCATTTTTCAGAGTGTATGTCAGCACACAGCAACTACATATTGAACAAAAAGTCAAGTCAGATGATGAGTGTCTTTCAGTGTTTCAAGGAACACTCCCGATTTTTGTGCTACTAAAGAACCTTCCAATTACATAGAAGTACTAAAGCTGGTGAAGTTTACAGCAAAGGCTTTTGTGATGTAGAGGAATTTTAATTTGAAAAGGTCAAGCAATTTCATCCTGTACCAAAAGTGGTACATACCTGATAACATGATATAAAAATCTAAGAGTATACTTGTGTATTTTAAAGGAAGAAGACTCATCTGTGGACATAAAGTATTTTTCTGCTTAAACTACATGAACATAGTAAGCACTTTATTTATTCTTTTAAAAAGTTTTTTGTTTTCTCAAATGGCTTAAAATTTTATTGCAATACTTTTACAACAATAACAAAAACTAAATTTTACACAACTCTGGCACAAACACCTGTTAATCTGATAACTCATAAACCTTCCCCACTACAAAGGACTCCAATTAGAATGAATAACAGAGATGTTTGGGGAATTGAGGGGGGACGACATTTGTTTGATTGACATGTGCCTTTCCTGGGAGAATGCAAGGCATGTCCATAATCCGTAACAGTCTGACAGCACTATTATGACCTAGTTCTTAGGGGGAAAAAAAGGTATATCTTTGTTAAAACAGTTGTTTACCTATACATTTATACTGAACAGTACTATTGAAGCTATGTGACTCTCTTATCTAGTAGTGCATTAAGTCTGTTCATATAGCTAGCCAAATGTCACGTATGATCTTTCCCACTATTGCTGTGGAAATCTTACAGGAAAGAGTACTTTTTGGTGCTTGTTGTATAAACCCTTCTGTGTTTCATTATATGTATTATTATACGTATTCTAGATGTATTATATTACTGGAAAAGCTGTTAGGTTGTTCTGTTGTTAGTATTCTACTGAGAACAAACATAACTTATCAACTGCCTGACTGCTTCTTGAAAAATAGGTATCAATTTACCCCATTGAATTACTACACCTGTTTGAATTTTGGCCACTCCATCTGAGCAGCAAGCTAGCCTGAGGAACTTTCAACACAGTTTTATTAGCCTACTTGACAAAACTTTCATAGCCTCAGGAGCTTGGAAAAAGTGAGAACATAAAGAAATACCAAAATAGTGAAAAAGGCTGAAAAATTGCATTTTGTATTATGGAAATTGTAAACACCTACTTTTCCCCCTCATCATTAAACTTCCTTTTCAGGTTTTTTGCCTTTTTTACTTTAAGCTCCACACACAGTACCTGCTCAGTCCATTTAAACTCCATGAAAGAAACATAAACCTGGCACAAAAGCTATTGCTGAAACTTGATAATAGTAACTACTGATAAACATTGAACATTGACTTTATGCATCATATCAATAAACACGGAACATCTAGAATAGTAAAACATTATATAGCTTGCTGACTGCAACAACATCGATGCAACAAGGAGAAAAAACAAATTATGAAACACTAAAAAAAAAAAAAAGGCTCACCTTCTGTGCCATTGGGTGTCATGGAATTATTATTTATATGGGAGTTATCAAGTTTTGGACCACTGGGGGATTCACTACTACCACTTAGTCGTCTATGTGGGCTGGCTAGATCCTGCATTTCCATAGACCTGAAAACAAGATGCAACTAGTTTTAGTGACATATTCAACATGAATTACATAGGAATTGCCTTTACAAGATGCAGCCCACTATTAATCAACATCCCAAAAACACTCTGAAAAATTCACAGCTTCTCCCAACTTGACCTATTCTAGTGCTTAATTCATGTTTTAGCCCCACACACAACTGACCAGCTACTGTAATTATTTTTACAGCTTGTAACAGAATAATTCCAAGTGCTGTACTTTAAACATTCAAGTAACCTTTTATTTTTAAGACACCTACAAAGATGGAATCTCAATGTATGAAGACATATATTCCCTTAACAACAAATTAACACTCTGCTTTTTCAAGATTTACCACTCAGTGGCAATATAATGGGCCTCCAAACCAAATAAAACACTTGAAGCAATTGTGGAAACTTATCATCTACTGACAGGGAATGAGATATTCCTGATGTATGTGTTTACTCTGGCAAACTACTTAATTGTTCCTCTGTTTCCGTTGAAACAAATGCATCATTAAAACATTATTATGTCTGCTCACGTGTTTGCTTTGTGGATTACATAGAGCGTGCCCAATTGAAAAGGGATATGACCAACATACAGTGAATCCATATAGGCGTTAGTGTGCCTTAAGCACTCTGCTGTATCTCCGCAGCTGTCGCTTAGGCAAAATAAGAAGAGAACAATTCCGATTCAAAGCAAAAATTAAAAGTTTAACCTGCACAAAAGCAGCTGAATATTTCAGACTGGTGATTTCAATAGCTTTATATATACAGGCCAACAGCCATCACCACCATGACATATCCTTTGGTTGATGTTGGGGCTTTTGACTGAAGTGCCCCATCCTTCCTTTTATACCTAAAACTTGATAATGTTATTTGATGTACTCATTCTAAGTAACAGTTCCCAGTAGAAACTTCATAGGTGACTCTGCCTCCAAGGCATTTGAACTAGTAATTTTTCAGTTTAAAAGAAATGCTTCGGCTCTTTTAAAGACTATTAAAATTATATAAAAACTTCCTCCTGCAGTAATGGTATGAATATCCTTAAGCCTAAGTGTCATTTCAGCTATGAAGTTTTCACATTTTAACTGACATTTTATCACAAGTTCTAAACAAATATCCTTCATTTTATATTTCTTTACCTCGTCTGATTTACACACAAAAAAGGATGATATTGCAATGAGTTCAAAAAGACAGTATCTAATATATAAAGTCAAACAATTTACTGAAAAAGTCTATGTGCTCATGGTTTGCAGACTTGGTTGCATGCACATAAAAGCGATACTCCAGCACCTACTCATCCACTTAATGTGGAAAACAAGAATAAATATTTTAGTTATCACTTGAAGTTAAAAAAAACCCCAACAATAAAAGGCTTGCAGAAAAATAGCAATTTTCAGTCAAATCCTTACCTGCAGTTTGAGGAAACAGCAACATCTGAACTAGTTTGGGACTTCTGCACCTGTAAACCAGGGAAACAAACAGAAGCTTCTATTACTCCGCTTTACTATGAGGCTTTAATTTAAAGAAAGGATATCACCACAGATGACAATTCTGTTCTTTAAATCCAAACGGAGAGAGGTGGGTGCGGTGCCCGTGAAAGGCATATTGTCTTTAAATTGAAGGCTCGCCTGTTGTTTCCCCGGCAGGTCTCTCTCCCTCCTCCCTGCGCTGGGGGACGGCAGCCAAGTGACGGGATAGTGATTCATCAGGGGCCCGTGACAGCTGCAGAGGGGCTCACTCCTCCCACGGCACAGCACGGCACGGCACGGCTCCGCCACGCACCCCCGCAAAGGTAACCCTGCCGCGCCGGCCAAGGGCAGCGAGAGCTGCTCCAGCCCCAAGCCCCTCAGCATCCTCCACCCCTCTCGCCTCTTCTCATCCCTCCCTACCCCTTAACTCTTCACAGCTTCTTGCCCTCATTGTGTTAGTTTTCCTCTGCTCTTCCTCATCCTTCCTCCATGCCTGGGCCACGGGGAACCCGCAAGCCACGTTCACCCCAAAGGCAAGGTGGAAAGGCTGACACTAATGTTTTTGGGGGGAAGGGTGGGAACGACAACAATGGGCAGGTCTACCTGTGGTAAAGATCTTCAATATATGGCCAACAGTATTACACAACCATCTCTAAAATAACGAATTAAAATCAAAACCCCAGACGTTATTGCAGAAAGTTCTACACATAAAAATTCCAGTTGCTAATCAGATTTCTGATAAAATGACTTAAAAACCACTTCTGGCTAAATAAATAGGAGGAAGCTGTAGTATTTACCTCTGAGGTCACTCATCAGGAAAAGGAATCTGGTTCCACTAGGAAGCCCAGCAATAATTTTTCAGTTTAATAAAATTACTCTTTTTATAACTCAGGTGAGTAAGAGTTTTCATATCCTATCAGAAGAACGCTGTTGCTTTGCTAACACACTCCAGCCACTAATGATTGTCAGCAGGTGATAAAATTCAGGTGAACACTGTTAGCCTAAAAGCACACAAAAACTTCTCTGGGCAAGGTATATATCCTCTTAACGTCTGCAGTGAGGATCCTTCATGTGCGTTTCCATTCAACCTGAACTGACATCTCTTAAATGATCACAGAGCAAAGACAAGGGAGATGAGGCATTTAAAGTGCCATAAAAATCATCCAAGCAAATCCTACTTATGTGTCTGTGGGGTGGGGTTTTTGTTATTTTTAATCACAGACAGAATTACTACTAGAAAGAGTAAACAACTGCTAGGGGCAGCCAGGCAATGAAGAACATTACAAACGATGTCAAAAAGCATGCAATAATGCATGCTGAAAAACATCAATCTTTTTATAACTGGGTACTTAAAGTACTGCATAACACGCTTCTCAATACGTTGTTGCATGCCAAATCAAACCAGACAAACAGACACAGTCAAAACTGTGCATTTTGTTTCAAAGATTTTTTTTTCCCTCAGTTCTTTACCCCAGAAACTGCTGCAGAGTGCCTTAGGATATGTTTCTGCTGTTACTTCTAAACACCTGGAAAAAATTATAGGTGAGAACTAAGTTTGCTTACAGAGGTATCTTCACTCCCTCTTACACAGGATCCTTTAAAACATATCTTTTATAATAGGAAAAACTTCCATTTTCAAATGGATGCTTTAATTAACTGATATTTTCCAATGTGCCCTACAGAATAATTCATATTTGATTAAATTCTAGAATACATGTAATCCTATTTTAATTACCAGATTTTTTAAGAATAATAACTTCAGTGCATTTGTAAATATACATATATACATGTCATGTGTGTACATAGTGAGAGAAATTTCATTTATGGATGCATGGGAGAAGGCAAAAAAAATAATCAGCTCATTGGAAGTGAATTAAATATATAACTTAAATGTCCTCTGACACTTTATGATTTGTGAAAGTTCATATCCACAATCTTCATTTTCATTAGACATACTTTAGATATATTCCTTTGTGTCTCAAGGATTATTTAAACCATGTGTTGCACGTTACCAAATTTAAAAATGACTCTTTAATCAAAATAACTTTAAAACAACTAATCCTCACTTAGGCTGGTCAGCTGAATCCACAGAGTGGTCCAGGAAAAATAAATCTACTCTCAAGAATGCGAATGCAGACAACAATTAGACACAGATGTGAGTGAAATTAGTTACAGTTTACAAAATGCTACACTTCACATGCTTTCAGTTTTTTATGTGTAGTACAAAATTACAACGTAGTAAGGAGCCACACTTATGATGACCAGTTAGTTCATAGAATAAAAACATTTCTGGGTGGTGTGTGCTTGCTCTCATACATTCTCCCATTTTGTCAATAGATTTCTAGATAATGGAAGTTCTGCAACATAACTCACATATCAAACAAAAAGGGGGGAAAACCCCCAAATTCAATGGCCTTACCTGCCCAGAAATGAGGCACAATTAAAAAAAAAAAAAGAAAAGAAAAAAAAGGGAACTGTGACATTCCCTTCATACACAGTGCTCTGCTAAAACTAAAAATGCCATATATGCTAAATGACACATACACATTCTCCTTAATACCTCAAAAACATTATTGTGTATAATTTGATTGTTGTAAGTAACGTTCACATCTTTTTCCTTAACACAAATTGCAGATCCAGGCACTATATAGTACATGGTGAGAAAAAAAAGGACAATGATAGCAAAGCTACTTCAAATTCATCCAGTTAAGAATCTTAAATCAGTAACATCAAATTCTGATTAGTTAATGAGGTCTTTTAAGTTTGCCTTTTTTCTAATTAAATTTATAATTCTTCACAGATGTAGGTTTTGTTGATGTTCAATTTGTCTCTCTCATTTTGTTAAACCTCACATAGTACTCCACCAATCCATTGAATAGCCACATTAAATCTGTTAATACCATGCTCTTCAACCCCAGAAATTATTTCCAGAAGGCAAACTTGCTTTGAGAGATCATCAAACAAGACTTAAGGTACACATTTTATCACATTTTCCCTACCACAGAGCTCAGGATGCAGAGGAAAATTCATGACTTTTGCACTGTTTATTATACTTTGCTAAATTACAAATCAAAAGCATCTGACAGAAGATCATGTATGAAGCCAAAAAGTTAATAATGTTCTGTGAAAAGTAAACTGTAAATGGGAAGGGATTCTAAATTTCAGCAGCACAGAGCAAATAAAATATAGGTACTTGTCTAAATTACAGGTTTTCCACAGTATTTTTGCTTGCTAGGAGCAATTTTTTCTAATGGCTATAATTTAAAACATTTTTCCAGCTGAAAAGAAATTTTCAAAGTGAAAATAAGAATTTAACCCAGAAAACTATAGCTAGCACATGCGCTTTATCTTAAAACACAGTTCTACTTTAAAGAAGCAAATTTCAAAGACAATGGCAGTTTTCAAATCAGACTGTTCCTTCTTAGGAAAAAAAAAAATCTGTCATTTTTAGGAAGGGGTGGAGGGAGAGAGAGAAGTGGTCTTTTCCCCAACAGCACTCTTTGCCTCCTTAAAAGCGCTATGCAGCCAGTATCTACAGACATAATGGCTTCAACAGCCAAAATGTTACAAAACTAAAATGCAAATTGGCTTCAGAAAGGCACCTTGCTGGCAACCCAGGAAACTTGGTAATACTTTCACTGTTACTATAATCGTATTGCTGGGCTCTAAGGGAAGAGGTAGGGCTTTTTCACTAGATCTTCACGTCAAAGACAAATTGCACTTATTAAAGCAAATGCAGGTAATTGCAGTTATTTCATTTTTAATTACTAGTTTAAATTCTAAAAGTGCTATCCTGCATCTTCACTTCATGCAATTATGAATGAAAGGTTTTGAAACCCCAACACTTTCTTCCCTTTAAGAAAGAAGCACTACAATGTGACAATGCTCCTATTATGACCAGCCATTTAAGAATGTCTTTCTGCTTTTCCAAGATTTTTTTTGGCTCCTGAGAAATATTTCATACTTATTGCAATTCAAAGAAAATGATTACTCATTCTTTTTTTCTCCTCTCTCCAAAGGGGAAGCGTGACTCAAGCCGTCTGTCACTGAGCAGAACTGCTGAGAGGGGATGGCTGCTCATTTCCAGACCCTTCCAGGCCTTGGGAAAACTCTGACAGCAGTGAGGTGCTTGACTAAAAACTGCATGTCATGGGTTTGTGAGCAACATATAAAGCGCTGTGTGCATACATGTTTATATACCTAAAATGATATAATGTATATACACACATATATATGTATGTATACAGATCCATATATATAATCCATACTTTTAATTTATTTTACACACCAAGCCAGCAGTCTGTGTTTTGGCAGATGCTTTGCGAACTGTCTCTGTATGGGATGGAAAATAAAAGAATCTTTATACGTGGTATCTAACGTTAGAAACTTCCAATGATACACTACACCACATTTCCACTTACTCCAAATTTTCCTCAGTGCTCATTTTTAAATTTAAACAAACTACATGAAATATACTATCCTCTTTTTTTTTCCTCCTGAAACCTTTTATCTCTTCTGCTTGCTTCAGTTTAAAATGTTTGCTTACAAAAAAAAAAGAAAAAACCACCAAAACCCAACCACCTTCAAATAAATGTTTTTATACACTAACAACTTTAATTTTCCAGAATAAATCTTTCACTGCAGAGGGCAGTTCTTCCTCTTGATGTTTGAAACACCGAGAGAAATACATACTTGGAAATGTTTGGTGGGTCTTGGTTGCTCAAAAGCAAGATGTAAATTTAATGAGACTTCAAAAGGTCTTTAACTTCCTCGTTCTAAGATCACCGTTCTAAATAAGCTACCTAAAATGTCAATAAACGTCAAATATTTCAGTTGTGCAGATGTTTATTCTGTCATCTTGAAGAGTTCTCCTGTGGGGATCTATGTGTTTTCCTTGGTGTTTGGAAAATTTAAACATATTAAGCAAAAGGATTTCCTGCTTCAGAAAGCACTGTCAAAATCTCTGTCAGGCATTCTTCCTCCCAAATTTTTTATTATTTTTCTCACGCTCTCATGTCTCTTTCAGCAAAGTCTGCCGGTTTCCTACAGTACGTGTCTCTTACCCCCCCGTTTAACATCTCACCACCACGTTGCTCCTATCTACCGAACCATTAGCGCTCGAGGAAATCAAACAGGAGAATCCCCAAACCTGGCTGATCACAATAAACAGAACCGCCTAACATCTGTTTTGTGGGAAGCCTACAAACCCCAGCCTGAATCACGGCCAAAATTAGCTGCAGCACCTAGTGATTTATAATTGAGTGCTGCTCTCCTCCGGGACGGCAGAAAGTGCCCCTGCCCCTCCGCGCACCGCGGCCCTGCCGCGCCGGGACCCGGGGCTCGGCAGCCGGGCTGCTGCAGTCGCCCGCTTTCCCCGGTCTTGTCCTCCCGCTCTCGCCTCTCCCGCTGCCCGCGCCGCCGCCACCGCCGCTGTCAGCGCCCGCGACGCCCGCCTGGTACTCACGGTGCCGGGGCGCAGCTCCGCGGGCCCGCAGCGCGGCGGCGGCGCCTCCCACGGCGCGACGGGGCGGGCGCGCCCCGGGCGCGGGTCGGAGCCGGGGCCGGAGCGGGTCGGCGGCGGGCAGACAAAGCACAGCGGAGGGAGGCTGCCTCCAGCCCCGCCGTCTGTTTGCTCAGCCTTGTGGGTCTGCCCAGGCAGTGCCTGGGGGCACGCTGCCGCTCCCGCTCTCCTCCTCACTCCCCTTCTCCTTTTTTCCCCCCCCTCCCCTCCCCTCCCTCCTTTTGGGTTTTGTTTTTGTTTTTGTAATGCAAACCGCAGCTATTCTCTTGTCCGAGACTTATTGGTTTAAAAGCAACGACCGCGATGAGGCTTGCGCGGTTTGAAGTCAACCTTCCTGCCGGGGTTGCCGCTTCGCCGCGGCCGCAGGCGCGGGAGCTGCGCGCCTCTGGGCCCCCGCCGCCAGAGCCCCCTATTTTGCACCTTCTTTAGCCTCACCTCAGAACAACTCCTGAATCCCCCAGGCCCCTCCTCATTTGGAAAGTTTAATTGTGTGTAGATGCGTCCCCTCTAGTAAGCCGGGTTTAAACTAAAGCCGTCCTAATAGAATAACTGGAATTACACCAACATTATATCAATGAGAGAAGCTAAATAGGGATACTCACAGAGGCTCTTAAGCATACAACCAGCATACACGTCCGGACATGCCGTTTTGATTGGATATGTAACAGATTTGTTCTCAAATATCTGAGATTCTTGCAACCTTGTAAAGAAAGGGTCTGCTAAAACTATTTAAGACAGCCTTCTCCAATTTAAAGGTATTTATTAAATAAAGTATCTAGAACTTTTAAAATGGTTTAAACCATTTAAACCATTAAATATCTGTACCCCTAAAAACAATTGTAAAAATATGCAAATTTGTATTTCAGTTATTACTACTCACTTACTAAAGTTTTAAAATTTAGCAAAATTTTAAGAAACTGCATAAAGGCCCTTTCCATAGACCTTAGAAATATTCCTAAAGAAGAGAGAGATGGTTGCATAGGGTTAATTTTGTGCATTAAGTAACAGTAACTCTTTAAAGCTTAGCTTTTACCAATCGATAAGTAATTAAGTAATTTAATTAGCAAGCCATTAAACTGAAATGGGTTTGTGATACATTTCTATTACAGAATTTTGGTTGCTCATAATTCAAAAAAGTTTTTTTAAAAATATATACACAATGTTAAAAAACATTAAAACACACACAATAACTAAATTTGATCAGTGTTCTCCACAGCATTTCCACTTTGTAGATAGTATCTTTCACTTCATGTAACAGTTATTTTTCTCTACTCTTTCAGTACACATAATCCAAACATGATGAGGAAACCAGCGTAACGATTTGCAGTACCAAAAAAAGTCTTAATTCCATGCCAGGTCTACAGCACTAAATAAATTAAAAAACAAAGCAAAACAAAAGAAAAAGCCCAAACAAGCAAACCAACTTTATACTGTATAAATATATTGAAACCGAACTTTTTTTTCTTTATAAAAATCTGTGGTTATTCACTGCTAATTGATCCTTACCTTCAAGTAATTAATCTGTGAATGAAAGCAATACTTCTAGTGAAGAAATGTCTTCTGGCTACTACATCCCAGTAAGCGAGACATTATTTTGTAGCAAGTACATTGGGAATACTTCAGGAAAGCAGATCAGTTTGCAAAGCTACAAGTCAACCTCGAGCTGAAAAGGCACCTAGGATTTCATTTTGTTTAGTGGAGAAAAGGGATCTCGGGACAGTCACACACCATATATGGGAACCCAGGTCAAAATAAGCAGCTTTCGATTGGGCCTGTCTGCGTAGCCAGCACAAACACAATCCCATCACTTCTTTATAGTCACAAACCAGATCTCATGCCAAGAAAACTATTTATCATGTTCTATATTAAACCATGAAAGAAATACAAGTTACATATTATGGAGACGTGCAGTTTTGTCAGGTGAAAGTCACTGAAATCCTGAAATACAAGGCTATGCAATCATTCTGAACTATATGATTTTTTGGAACAGCCACGATCCTCTGGATTTTTTACCAGTGTTAATAAGATCCTTTTTTTAAAAACCTACCCAATACTATATGGAGTTAAAGGCATATTCTTGCTTCACTGACTCTAGGAGTTACATATATTACATGAAAAAGATGAGTTACGCACTTTAAGGAAGCAGAAGTTAATTTTTTTCTGGAAGAAAAACTCAAAGAATATCACGTTGTTGTGTGGTACGATCTGACACTGGAAAAGGTAACTCAAAACCCTTTTGCAAAAATAGTGGTTCTTAAATGATGCTATGGAAATAAAAAAATTATTTAAAAACAGACTGTGACTTCCAGGGACGCATGTAATTTTTTGCATAAATCTATTTCAATCCATTATTTAAAAAAACCCCAAATAGCACAAATGTAGGAATAAATTTTACTGTTTTAAATGTAAAGCTTACTGAAACAGGTTTACTGTTGGTTAGAGTTTGTAATCCCTACTGGGAGTTTTATCTAAGTAATAACTTCAGGAGTGTGCCCAGTCTCTGTATTTAATTAAAGTAAGACAGATCCCCACACACACGTACAGAGCTTGATGATGTGATGATAAACAAGGGATAAATTACACACAGGCTAAGATGATCAGAAAAAGGGTGTTGATGATGCATTGCAAGAAAAGAATTAGCTTTGAATTTTTAATCTCTTCTGTAGTATGGCATGGAGGCAGTATGGGAACTGAAGCCATATAAATTATCTAGATGGGGGATATGAGATAAAATAGGGTTCTCTCTGTTTATACAGCCATTAAACAGTGCCTTAAAGTTCTTTATCTGATGTCTGAAGATTGGACTTCAGATTAGTTTATATCATTACCCCATGATATGGTCTAACCTATGAACTTATCCTACAGCTGATACCGTGGACTAGATCCTTCTTTGGTTTAAGTGAGTGCAGGGTTTTTTTTATTTCAATAGGTAATCTAATTATGACAGCTGAGCACTGCACCGATTTGAAACCTACTTGAAAGAGGTTTATTTGCTTAGCCTTTTGATTTTGTTCTTCCAACTAACTGCATACCAAGTCAGTGCAGGCTAGGTTGTTGATCACTGGCACCCAACATCAATTTCAAACCACAATTGCACTAACACTGGGTTTGGACAGAGATTTCAGTGGGATTTGTATATGTTTACATCATGCCTGAATTTGCCCTGATTCTGCATTCCAGTTAATGCAGCTGGCATTTCAAGAGTTCTAAGAAGTAAAGGACCCGGACTATTACATAATATCAAATGCTACAACAAGCTATGGGGTATATTTTTACAACTATTACTCATGCGATATGGTTTTAACTCCATATGCAGTGTCACACACTTGTTTTAGCACAAGTAAAGTGGGTCCATCTGGAACAAGTATTTACAGGGTGCTTAGGTACTACAATTACAGATGTGCTCATAATTAAGAAAAATTAGATGTAAGACGTGTTATGGAACAGTGGGATGTTCATATGTTTGTCTCCAAGTAGGAAATACTGCTGAAATATTTAATATTAGAAATAGGCCCAGGAAGACCACACTTCACTAAAGCAAAAGATGCATCCCGTTGCTCCTGAAAGCTGCTGCCTGGCTTTTTCCATAACAACTGCAGTGCAACATCAGAACCTTCTGAAGCAGGCAATATCCCTCCTATGCCTCCATACAAGTTTTATCTTACACATAGCAGCTGTTGCCTAGAG